ATATGATCTCCCCACACTCACACACTTTGGTGCTTGATACCTCTACCCTTCGTGATCACACATGCTGGTGTGCTTCTTCCATGTGGGCTTTGCTGCTTCTGGGCTAGATGGCCACTTGTTTACTTTCAAGCCTTTAAGACCTCAGGCACTATATCTCTCGATAGCCAGCCACCATCAGCCTTCTTCACCACTCTTACTTATGCACACATTCGTCTTCAGCGTTTATATGGGGAAGGTGATCCCACAATTATGGCTTTTGTTCTTTGGTGTCTGCTACCTGATCCCTTCATCACCTCATGATCACACAGGTTTGTGTGCTTCTTCATTTTGGGCTTTGTTGCTTCCGAGCTAGATGGCCACTTGCTTACCTTCAAGCCTTTAAGACCCCAGATGCTATATCTTTTGATAGCCAGGCACCATCAGCTTTCTTCACCACGTTTGCTAATGCACACGTTTGTCTTCAGCAATCATGCCGGGAAGGTGGGTATCGTGGAATGACCATTTAGCTGAACAAAGTGCTCTTGTATTAAAGGAATGCGCACGAGGAGGCCCAATGTCTACCTGCTACCTTACTACTAAACCTATAAATTTATGCACATAGACCTATTTCCCCATAAGCAGCAACACCAACAAACTAACAAACAAAAAAGCCACAGACATACAAAATCTAAAAGAAGAGAAAAAAAGAAGAAACATTTTTTTAAGAAAGAAAGAAAAGCCTGTTAATAGTTCAAGGGCTGTTTGTTGAACTTTAGGAGTGTTTTACGGGTGAGTCTGATGGGGTGCCATGTCCTGGCCCCAAAGTCCATCCTTGATACTCCCTCAGGACCTCCTTGCTTTGCTTCCCCCGCTGCTCTGTTGCATGCCCCCAGTGTCTTGCCTCAGTGTGGTGGGGTCAGCTCGGTCACACATCCCACACTGTGTCTCCGGTGCTGGCCCATATAGGGTCATGGATCAGTGCAGGATGTTGCATCTTGCAGTGGGGCCAGCCAAATGGTCCTCTCTGGGCATTGGCTGCTCCAAGCTGGGCTATCGTCCTCTGAGCTTGGTGGGCCCTGGTGTGCTCCACTCCCTTTCTCCCCCTTCATTTGCTTCAGCTTCCTTCTGGGTATGATAGGTCAGTTCCTTTCCCTCACCAGATGATCTATTTTCATTTTCTGTGGCACTCCCTTCCATGGTGGGGGTCGGGCTGATTCTGGTTAGGCCAGGCATATGGTCCAGTCTTTTGTGGATTCCTCTGCGCGGTACGTTGCCCTCCTGTTTTGGCACGTCATGGTGGGGTCTGTATTCACATTCCAGTTCTGTGGGAACACAACCAATACTCCCCCCCTGGGTGATTAGTGCCCCGTTCCCCCCATGTCATCAACTCAGTTTCTCTCCACCCTGATTCTCCCTCCTCCTG